GGTTTCCATCCATGGTCCATTCTTGTCAGTATTCTCAATAAGCCACCGATACCTTGGTTCCATACCTATGACTTGACCACTGAACCTTTTTTTTGTTTACTTCCAAGTGCTCACACAGAGTGATCCTTCATGTCCAGCTCTGGTTTATATATATAGCATGGATTTATTTTAGGGTCGTGTGCAAAAGAAATATACGTTTTACCTGCGTTTTCTTATATATACCTGTTGCATCATCTATAAAGTGCCGTGTGCAAAAAAATTAGGGTCGTGTGCAAAAGAAATATACCTTTTACCTGTGTTTTCTTACATACCTGTTTGCATCCTCTATAAAGTGCCGTGTGCAAAAAAAGTACAAATAAAAACTTTACCTATGCATTGCGACGTCATCCATGTCAGCGAGCTACCCTATGCATTATGACGTCATACACTTGTAAAATTAAAGTTTCATTTTCACTTTTGTTTCTAAGAAGTCAACTTAGATTTTCAAAAAAATGTAGGACTATCTTTTGTTTTTCCTCTCTTTTACTTCGATGATTTTCCTACTGTGAAGCTTTTCTTGTATAGAGCTCAATTTCTCTATGACCACGGAAGTAAGCATCCTGATGCATTCTTGTCATGTGAATGTTGAGAGCGTGTTCATTTTTGAAATCTCCTTTCTGACAGACCTATTTCACAGGTAAGTTTGTCTTATTTTTGTTTACATTTCCTATGAAGGTCACCTTTGCATTTAACCATGATTTATATGTAAAGTTCTGTTTTAAATGTAAATACTGTATTTATCCTTATTTCATTTTCTGATTTACAGTTGTACATGTATAACCTGCATGTAACTCAGAGTGCATTTAATATTTCTATGATGGGTCATTCTATGATTGAATTTAAATCAGAATAATGTTCTCTAAATTTTGGTAAAATACATGGTATATCTTTTACATTTCTGTCCCTTTTGTCTGTAAATTATTGCTTTACTTACATTGTAAAATGAGTTTAATTGTGTATCACTGAATTGTATGATTTTTTCAGGATCAGCTGAGATGTTATTTCACTGGATTATTTAATGGATAGACTTATTGGGCATATAGTTGGATATCTCTGGTAAGTTTGTCTTGTTTTTTAATTGCTTACATTTCCTATGAAGGTCATCTTTGCATTTAAGCATGATTATATGGTTTAATTTAATTACTGTGTAATACTTATGTGATCTGTTATCTCTAACTTACATTCATATAAGCACACCCTTATTTAACCTAAAATATATTAACACATGGTTAAGGGATCTCCAGAATATTAATAAGTCCTTTTGTATAAATTATATGATATAATTTCATAATTCATTATGTATGTTACCCATTGAATTCAGACTTACTAAATGGTGATCAAAGAGATATTCATTAGGAATCTAATAAGAGAAAAGGAGGAATTTACAAAAGATTAATCCTAAGTTATTTACTTTTTGTTTTGATTCTAAATATGTGTGATATATGGCATACATATAAATACTGATAGGTATTAAACCAAAATGAATTATCGTTCATATATCGAGTTATCGTTCATAATTAATGCGATAATCATTTTATTTGTGATATCAATAGTAAGACTTTTTTTTTTATTCACTCGTACATGGAATATTCCACATGTGTTAATGTTAAAAACAATTTTTTGAAATAAAAAAATATTCTTTAATCATATTTATTCGATTAGTAGTTTATATTTATTTCATATGTAATTTACAATGGGGTTATTATATATAAATCCCTATGCCGAAAATTGGAAATGTTAGTATATATAACAATTTATCAATATAAATTAATCATCAAACATGGATTAATTATAGATAATCGTGGATTGATTTTAATGAAAAATAAAAAAAGGAGTTGAGGTATAGTACTTGATATATTTTCTTTCTATATATTTATTTGTATTTCGGTTAATGCAGTTATATTGTTATGTGTATAATGCGAATGGAGAATATGCACAGGGGTACTTGATATATTTTCTTTCTATATATTTAATTTATTTATTTGGGGGGGGTGTATTGCGAATGGAGAATGCACAGGGGGGGGGGGGGGTATTACCAACTGGAGACAGGCATCTATCGTTAAATGTGGTCATGTAAGAAACGAAAACCAAAGGTGTTTAAATGCTGCCTAAAGATCCTTGCTCCAATTTTTCACTCATGGGAACACTAACAATTGCCGTTGGAAAGCTGCTCGACACCCTGGGTCATTGAGCAGTGAGGGACCTTTTTCGTGCCAGCACCAACAGCGACAGGGAGGGGTGGAGCGGTTGTTTGACAGAGTTAAGGAGCCAACAACCACACTAAAATTATTGAATTATTAAATCTTATGCATATATTGTAAAGAAAATGGGGCCCTGGTCCCCTCCACAGTGAGGGACCTTTTTCGTGCCAGCACCAACTGCGACAAGGGACCTCGGTTTATACGGTCTCATTGGAGGACCGGTCTCCACGTCCTTCAGAGGGATTCAAACCTGCAACACAAGGATTATCTCCTTAATCCGCGACTTTAAAGCAGACTTTCTTACTACTATTTCACACGGCGACGCAGATTTCAGTGGCGAATCCAGGAATCTTGAAAAGGGAAAAGGGGGAGGGGGGGGGGGGGTGCTGTTGTTTACCAGAGTTAAGAGTTTATCAGTGTTAAAATATACAGAAATATAATAAATATTTGTTGATAATATTTATTCGATTCGTAAATTACATTTTATTAAAAATTATTGAATTATTAAATCATATGTATATATTCGACAGAAAAGCGGGCCGGGGTGGGGGAGGGGGGTGTACTACCTGTAAACTAATCCGCCAGTGTAATTGAATGACTATTATACTGAGTTTGTGAGATAGAAATAATTATTTTCTTATTCTAATTAGAAACTTATACCTATACAACAACCACTTGTAAGAAATCTGGTATTGTTTCACATGAATATCCAGGTTAGAGATAAGACTTAATTTCTCACAAAACTCAAGTTTTTTTTTCCCCGAGGCATATCCTAACGCAATAGAGCAAGGGATACGTAAGTCTACAAAACCTACATTTTTCGCTATTCGGCAGTTACTACTTTTCTGGGTCTGGTATACCTGGTATTTCACACTAGGTAATTCGAGTGAATTTTTTTTTTCATGTGATCCAAAGTACAAACATATGACATTAAGCTTACTTTATTAATATTTCTTCACTTAGGGCAGTGATGTTTGTATAATACTTGTTGTAAAATATGTTTTAAAAATTAAAAAAAAATTAATAAAACTAATTATAAAGTCCAAATTACTAGATTTCACTTCTTATCTAATGACCATGTATTGAAGGGCAGCCCCGCGAGAATTCCGAAGCATTTAAGTTATAATGTGTAGCGACCATTTTACGTACCTAATAAATGAATGGTCTGATAGTTTAAATCTTGATAGAATTTTGAAGATGGTATCAAATAATGCTTCACTGAGAATTGTACAAAACTTTGATTTTTTCAATTCAATTCAATTAATTAATTGCACCTTGAATTTTACATTAATTGAAGTTCTATGGGCTGCACATGTTTTATTTAAGATATTGTAAAAAGTTATTTGATTTTCAAACAAATATCTTTGTAAATATTTGAATAAACTATATCTTTATTAAGTTATATACAAAAAATAATGACTCCTTTACCGCAGACACTTTGAGAAATAATAAATTTTCTTCTTTTCATCAAATGCAGATAACTCTTCATAAACGTTTAAGGTGGAATGTCACACCAACTTTTTATTTTATAGATCTTTGAGTCATCCTTTTTAAACAATGGTTTCAGCATGAAAGGCTGATATTAGCTCTTGATTATTTATATTACTTTTTTGGAGTTTGACCCATTTGTCATGAAAATTTTAAACTTTTACTTTGGCCATATCTTTTGAACAGTAGATGCCAAGACATTTATACTTCACATATGTAATCTTTTTTGAAAGACCTTTCATTGGATACCAACAGCCTTGATCCTTTGACGTTGACCTTGTAGATTTCCGTACTTGTGAAGAAACTTTAACCTTGGCTATAACTTTTGAACGGTAGGGGATAGGACTTTCATACTTCATATACATGATCCTTGTGAGAAGTTACTTCATTGGATACCAAGGACTTTGACCCTTTGACCTTTGAGATTGACCTACTTTAAAAAAGAAAACCTTGACCATAACTTTTAAAGTATTATGGCTAGTGCTTTCATACTCAACATATTTAATCCTTGTAAGAAGTTACTTCATTGGATACCAAGAACATTGACCCTTTGACCTTGACGTTGGAGTTTGACAGACTTTTTAAAAAAAATAACCTTGTTCATAACTTCTGACCGGTTAGGGCTAGCGCTTTCATACTCTATATAAGAATTCTATGTGGCAAGACCTTTCATTTTGATACCAATTACATTGACATTTTGGCCTTGACCTTAGAGATTTTTGTACTTATTAAAAAAAAACTTTAACGTTTGCGTACTTTCAAATTTCACAATTGATTTCCTTTGAGAATACCTTATTTTTGGTACCTATTAATTAAATTTGCATTTAAGAAAAGTTTAATCTTTACTATGTCGCCATACATCAGTGTTACACAAACACATCTTGTTTATTAGGTATTCATATGATGCATTCATTTACAGCAAATTGTTTTAAAAGAAAGCATCTAATTTGAATGTAAATAATCATAATCCTACATGTCATTCATTGCTGCTGATTTATTTCAGATTGAAATTATTACCATGATCTTAAAAGGGTTTTCCTACCTACCTGTAGCTTGTACTAGCTAAAAATTCGACATCGAACTCGGCAAGTTCTTCCCTTTTACGGAGATTTAAAAAATAAGTATAACCTGAAGATATTTCCCAGATCTCAGAGCTTTTCTCACCTACCTGTACTTTGTACCAGATAAAAACGCGGCAAAATATTCGTCATATTCCTACCTGTGTTTCATAGATGCTGATTTATTTTATGCTGAAATTCTTACCCTGGTCTTATTAGGCAACTCCTTATCTGTTACGGAGATTCAAGAGATAAGTTTAACATGAAGATATGTCCCTTATCTCAGAGCTTTCTCTCACCTACCTGTACCTTGTACCAGATAAGAATACAACAATATACTTGTCATATTCTTACCCGTCTTTCATAGATGCTGATTTATTTAATGTTAAAATTCTTACCCAGGTCGTATTAGGCAACTCCTTACCTGTTATGGAGATTCAAAAGATAGGTTTAACATGAAGATATGTCCCTGATCTCAGAGCTTTCTCTCACCAACCTGTACCTTGTACCAGAATAGAATACAGTAAAATATTTGTCATAATCCTACCTGTCATCCATAGTTGCTGATTTATTTAATGCTGAAATTCTTACCCTGGTCTTACTAGGCAACTCCTTACCTGTTATGGAGATTCAAGAGATAAGTTTAACATGAAGATATGACCCTTATCTCAGAGCTTTCTTTCACCTACCTGTACCTTGTACCAGATAAGAATACGACAAAATATTTGTCATATTCTTACCCGTCTTTCATAGACGCTGATTTATTTTATACTGAAATTCTTACCCTGACCTTACTAGGCAACTCCTAGCCTTTTATGGAGATTCAAAAGATAAGTTTAACATGAAGATATGTCCCTGATATCAGAGCTTTCTCTCACCTACCTGTACCTTGTACCAGATAAGAATACGACAAAATATTTGTCATATTCTTACCTGTCATTCATAGATGCTGATTTATTTAATGCTGAAATTCTTACCCTGGTCTCACTAGACAACTCCTTACCTGTTATGGGGATTCAAGGAAAAGGTTTAACATGAAGATATGTCCCTGATATCAGAGCTTTCTCTCACCTACCTGTACCTTGTACCAGATAAGAATACGACAAAATATTTGTCATATTCTTACCTGTCTTTCATAGTTGTTGATTTATTTAATGCTGAAATTCTTACCCTGGTCTTACTAGGCAACTCCTTACCTGTTATGGAGATTCAAAAGATAAGTTTAACATGAAGATATGTCCCTGATATCAGAGCTTTCTCTCACCTACCTGTACCTTGTACCAGATAAGAATACGACAAAATATTTGTC